GTCTTACATTTAGGTCTTTAATCCATTTTGAGTTTATCTTTGTGTATGGTGTTAAGAGGTGTTCTAATTTCATTCTTTTACATGTGGCTGTCCAGTTTTCCCAGCACCATTTATTGAAGAGACTGTCTTTGCCCCATTGTATATTCTTGCTTCCTTTGTCAAAAATAAGGTACCCATAGGTGCATGGATTTATCTCTGGGCTTTCTATCTTGTTCCATTGGTCTATATTTCTGTCTTTGTGCCAGGACCATACTCTCTTGATGACTGTAGCTTTGTCGTATAATCTGAAGTCAGGGAGTTTGTTTCCTCCAGCTCCATTCTTCTTTCTCAGGACTGCTTTGGCTATTCGGGGTCTTTAGTGTTTCCATATGAATTGTGAAACTTTTGGCTCTAGTTCTGTGAAAAATGCCACTGGTAATTTGATAGGGATCGCAATGAATTTGTGGATTGAGCTTGGTAGTATAGTCATTTTCACAATATTGATTCTTCCTACCCAGGAACATGGAATATCTCTCCATCTGTTTATGTTTCTTTGATTTCTTTCATTAGTGTCTTAAACAATTTTCTGTGTACAGTTCTTTTGTCTCCTTAGGTAAGTTTATTCCTAGATATGTAATTCTTTTTGTTGCAGTGGTGAATGGGATTCATTAATTTCTCTTTCTGATTTTTCATTGTTAGTATATAGAAATGCAAGGGATTTTTGTGTATTGATTTTGTATCCTGCACCTTTGCTAAATTCACTGATTAGTTCTAGTCAAATTTATTGTTTAACTAGAGAAAAACTGCTTTACAATGTTGTGTTGGTTTCTGCCGTCCAATGATGCCAACCAGCCACAATTACACAGAGACACTGTCCCTCATGAGCCCCTCTCCCCTCCGGGTGTCACAGAGCCCGGCGGGGCTCCCTGTGCTAGGCGGCAGCCTCTCACCAGGTCTCTTTGTTCATCTGCATTTTAAGTTTCCGCCGACCCCTGCAGATAAAGGGATGGCTATTTTTCTCATTTGTGAAATGCTTCTTATTCAGGCTGAGGAAGGAATTGTGCCCATTAACAAGTGTGAGAGCGATGTCAGGCGAGCCATGCACCCGCGTCCACACTGACCCTGCCCTCCGCGCCCAGAACTGGGTTCCAGCTGGGGGGCTGTGCCACAGACCCGGCGTCACTGGGAGCGCCCCCCGGCCAGGTGCCTCCCCCCAGGCCCACGGCTACCTCTGGGCGCGTCCCGCCTTCCTGGAGGGGAGACACAATACGTCAGGTATCTTGTTGGAAACATCACCAATGTCCACCAGTTGTGTCCTGGAGAAAAGCCTGGAGAGGTGAAGGGGTGGGAGTGACTTTGGCCGTCTCAGAGCTCCTGGCAGCATCCGCAAAGCCGCCACGGCCATTTCTTCAGCAAGCGCTTCTCCAGCGCCTTGGGGCCCGCACGCAGAGTGGCTCGCAGACAGACACACAGACGGGGGCACACGGGGGGACAGCCCCGAGCCGGCAGAGAGGGTGGAGGCGGCGCCACCGCAGTGCTGGAGGCAGGCGGGGGGCACCGAGGACGTCCTCACGGGCCCCTGGGACCAGCGTGCACGGCTGTTCCGGACACACCGGCTCTGTTTGCGTCTCAAGCCGTGAGAGCTCACACGCCACGAGGACAGGTGTGGGTTCTTGCCGTCCCCCGGACGTGTGTGTAGGAGGCGTGACACAGATGTCTCGGCACACATGCGTGATAATACACACACACATGTAAGAACATAGAAATGCCCGTGGCCTCCACAGTTACCCTGCCACTCCCTGAGGTGACCCTCGGAAGCTCAGGAAGGTACTGCACTCTTGAAGCTGGGTGGTCTCATCTCAGGGAAGGGAAGGGAAGTGAGAGCCGCTCAGTCCTGTCCAACTCTTTGCGACCCCGTGGACCATACTCTCCATGGAATTCTCCAGGCCAGAATATTGGAGTGCGTAGCCATGCCCTTCCCCAGGGGATCTTCCCAACCGAGGGATCAAACCCAGGTCTCCAGCATTGCAGGCAGGTTCTTTACCAGCTGAGTCACAAGGGAAGCCCAAGAATATTGGAGTGGGGATCCTACCCCTTCTCCAGGAGATCTTCCTGACCCAGGAATTGAACTGGGGTCTCCTGCATTGCAGGTGGCTTCTTTATCAGCTGAGCTAAGAGGGAAGCCCCACGTCTCAGGGAGTGATGACTAAATCGGTGTTAAACAACTTTGAATCCTAAACCTTAATCCGGCAGCTTCTACGAGAGCAGTTCCCATCGCCAGTGAGCGTCAGTCCCCTTGCCCCGGGGGCTGTTAGATCGCTGACGGCTGCCTCCAGCGGCAGTGCTGGCCCCAGAGGGCTGGGGCTGCAGGAGTCGGCGCTGCTAGCAGCTCCCTGGAGAGGCAGATGCTGCTGGTGCCCCGACCTCCCCTAGAAGACTGCGGTGCCCCCACCCCAGCGGTGGGACACCCTGGCACTGCTGTCCCTGCAGGCTGCACTTCTGAGAACTAATGTGAGAGCGAACCTCGGGATCACAGAGACTGTGTGAGGTCTGCACTGGCGGGGGCTAATTCTGGAGGAAGAAACGATCTCACCTTTCAGGTCTATACGGGGAATCTCTCACACTGCACGAAAAGGCAGCTTAGAGAAAACCTAACCTATAAAACATCACTGGAAGGCAGCTGTATATGTATTTCCAAGGAATCCTTCCTTTTATAAAGTATAGGGACCTCTTCTACTTTTAATAATAGAGATTATCAGGCATTTGAAAGGCTAAGGAACAGAGAAAATGAAGTCTTGCCAGTTGGAGCCCATGCGCTTGGATCCAGCTGCCAGCTGGATAATTAGTTGGCAAGAAATGGAACTGGACTCCAAAATGGAAAAGCATCTTTGTCCAGGCCTAAGACACGGCTGAGAAACCAGTGCCTACTAGACCCCAAGATGCAGGCGCCTGGATTCAAACCCCGTGGGCCACCGGCCGCTTCACAGGCAGCCTTCCCCTGACACCCGGGGCCCGCCCTGTAAGCCCCGGGGAACAAGGCCAGGGAGGGTCACTCCCCACAGCCCTGCCCCCATCCTGCCCAGGCTCGAGGCTTCTTGCGGAATGGATGGGAGGTGGAAGGAGCCCCCGGGTCCACGAAGGCACCTTCTGATGGAGGTGATGGACACAGACACTGCGTAAAAACACACGCACGGACACGCTGCACGCACGCGGTGTCCCGTAGGCTGGAATACTTGATGCTGGGGACATCCTCTGGGCCCGTGGAGAATGTGTTCCGCACATCACACATCTAAAGGATCACAAGGCCGAACTGTCTCGAGGAAGGAGGACATAGCTCGTGCTGCTTTGCAGTGAGCCAGTGTTAGCGCTCAGTGCCGAGAAAAGATGCAGACAAGGGGACTGCATGCCTGAGTCCACGCGCTTCCCACGTGACCTCGGCCCATAGCATTTTACAAACCGCATATGCCAAATGCGCCCTGCAAACGCGCGCGCTCATCTCGGCGACCCTGGTTTGCTCAGAGCTGTCGCCCTCAGCAGACGACAGCATTCCAGGCCACAGCCCACCACGATTCCCATTACCTCCTTTGCCCTAAGAGCAGAGTGCTTTTCTAGATCTCTTTGTACCAAATGCAGACCTTTATAAAGAGGACCGAGCCTGGGGGAATATTCAGTCAGTGCAGTGCAGTTCAGTCGCTCAGTCATGTCTGACTCTTTGTGACCCCATGAATCGCAGCACGCCAGGCCTCCCTGTCCATCACCAACTACCGGAGTTTACTCAAACTCATGTCCATCGAGTCGGTGATGCCATCCAGCCATCTCACCCTCCGTCATCCCCTTCTCCTCCTGCCCCCAATCCCTCCCAGCATCAGGGTCTTTTCCAATGAGTCAACTCTTCGCATGAGGTGGCCAAAGTACTGGAGTTTCAGCTTCAGCATCAGTCCTTCCAGTGAACACCCAAGACTGATTTCATTCAGGATGGACTGGTTGGATCTCCTTGCAGTCCAAGGGACTCTCAAGAGTCTTCTCCAACACCACAGTTCAAAAGCATCAATTCTTCAGTGCTCAGCTTTCTTCACAGTCCAACTCTCACATCCATATATGACCACTGGAAAAACCATAGCCTTGACCAGATGGACCTTTGTTGGCAAAGTAATATCTCTGCTTTTTAATCTGCTATCTAGATTGGTCATAACTTTCCTTCCAAGGAGTAAGCATCTTTTAATTTCATGGCTGCAGTCACCATCTGCAGTGATTTTGGAGCCCAGAAAAATAAAGTCTGACACTGCTTCCACTGTTTCCCCATCTATTTCCCATGAAGTGATGGAATGTTAGAGACTGTATTTGAGGACAGTGCCTTCAAAGCAAAACAAAAGTTTGTGATAAACTGTGATAAGCCACCTCCATATTTAGGCTAGCAGTAAAATTGGGATTGTTAGGTTAAGTCCTAAAAATGCGTTCTGTAGCATGGAGACACACGATCGTCCATAAACTGATTACCTCAGCTTATTTTTTTTTTTTAGCTCTTTAGGCAACAGGGGCAGATTCAAAATGAGGATTTTAGAGCTCAGTGAGAAAGGCAGGATGAGTAACCAACTCAAAAGGGAGGAGATGGTCTTTCTCTTAGATTCCCTTTTTGGAAATGTTCACGCTGAAAGGATGGTTCCTGACCTGCAGCCGTGGGGGATGATGCTGTGGAGCCTGGGGACGTGCCATGCCGGGCATCCCTCGTGACGGCCTGGCGTGGGCTGGGGGGCGGCACTGCCCAGGGGCTGGGCCTGTGAGGCTCTGGGGGCGCTGCCGGTGCAGGATGACCGTCTGACCCACTGTGCCCGGCTCTGGTCCCTCCTCCTCTCCACTCCTCACCAGTGTGCCCCCTGCCACCAAGCAAGGCTTGCCAGCAGGTGCCCCCTCCTGAAACCTCTGCCCAGGCCCTCTGGGCTGGCGAGTGCACGGGCAGCCGGGGGAGGCAGTGGGGACCCGGGGCGCTGCCCGGCGCGGCTCACAGCGGGCGCGGCACTCAGTTCACAGAGATCAGCCAGCGCCTGCTCTGCTCCTACCACACTGACATCGACGCGCTCCTCTGCGAGGTGGACCGCTGCCTGGCCGTCAACCGCGGCGTCCTGCAGCAGCTGGAGGAGCGGTGTGGCCGCCAGCTCTCGGAAGAGGAGTGGGGCGAGATCCAGACCCAGGTAGGTGCGGCCAGCCTGCTGGGGGCGGAGGGCCGGGCACTGCGGAGAGGGGTCTGGCATGTGTGTCTGCCCCCAGGGGGCCCCGGGACCCTCCTCGCCCACTCTGGGGTGAGGCCAAGGGCCCTGGGTGTGAGATTCCGCTTTGATGACGGCGTCTAGGGAGCAGTGAAAGCGCCCAGGGCCAAGGCCTCCCCACGTGCCCCCCCCACCCCCTCCCGCGCTTCCTGCCAGTCTCAGCCTGCCCGCCCCTCCCATCTGAGGACAGAGACTCCAAATCCAACAGAGGAAACGCTTACTTAGAAATCACAAAAATGGTAAAATGCATAAAGAAGTTTAGCGGCTACATAGTGTCAGAAACTGCTTAGTTAAAAGAAAGTCTGTCACTAAGAGTCAGCCTTGTATAAACTGTTTGTGTTTAGAGGTGGGTTACCCAACGTGGGTTGCAGCCCCTTCCATTCATCGCAGGAATAACAGAGCACACACATAATTAGCGCTGTTTTAACCCAGGATGAAACGTCTCCGTATTTACAAAACCCACGTCCGTGGGGGCCCGGTTCTCACTTGAACTGGGGACACCGCCCACCGCGGCGTGACCCGCACGTGTGACCGCCCGCCCCGCTGTGTTGCAGGCCCTGCACCGGGAGGCCCCCGACTGCCCCATCTGCCTCACCGCGCTGGCCGCTGGCGGCCCCGCGCCCGCGCCGCGGGAGACGGTCCTGCTGTCCTGCTCACACGTGTTCCACCACGCGTGTCTGCGCGCCCTGGAGGAGTTCTCCCTGGGGGAGAGCACGCCTTTCCACGCGTGTCCTCTCTGCCGCTCCTGCTATCAAAAGAGAGTTCTTGAATGTTGAGTTCACAGGAAAAAAATTATATAATTCAGGGGGGGAAAGTGTTAACCTTATTGTTGGTAGCTGTACGTTAGGAAAGCTGACAATATTTTGAAAGCTGACAAACTCATCCAATTCTCGTCTTTATAAAGAGAAAACTTCAAATTCATGAGTTGAGTCAGCTGAAGTGAGGAACGGATTAAAAACTTCTATCTCAGAGGCTCTACAGTTCGCTGATTAGCTCGGCTTCCGGTTGGTTGGCTGGGCTGCTCCTGAGAGTAGAGTGACCCCCTCCGTACCATTCCCCGGGTGGTGCTGACGGCTCCTGAGTAGAGTGACCCCCTCCCTACCATTCCCCCGGCGGTGCTGATGGCACCGGCGGGCCTGCCGGGGACGCTACAGCACACCGTCTCCCCAGGCCCGCCCTACAGCGGCAGCTCGTGGCTGACCGCAGACGGAACCCAAACCTCTTAGAGCATCCAAAGGGCCTCTGCCACTTATCTCTATGGGATAAGTTACTGTTGACTCCAGCACTTTGAATACATAAACCCAAGATATAAAAATAAGATATTCAGTGGTTTCAACATCAGTTCAATCACTCAGTCATGTCTGACTCTTTGCAACCCCTTGGACTGCAGCACACCAGGCTTCCCTGTCCTTCACCTTCTCCCGAGCTTGCTCAAACTCATGTCCTTTGAGTTGGTGATGCCATCCAACCATCTCGTCCTCTGTCGTCCCCTTCTCCTCCTGTCTTCAATCTTTCCCAGCATCAGGGTCTTTTCCAGTGAGTCTGTTCTTCACACCAGGTGGCCAAAGTATTGGAGCTTCAGCTGCAGCTCAGCCCTTCCAATGAACATTCAGGACTGATTTCCTTTAGGATGGACTGGTATGATCTCCTTGCTCTTCAAGGGACTCTCAAGAGTCTTCTCCAATACCACAGTTCAAAAGCATCAATTCTTTGTCGCTCAGCTTTCCTTATAGTCCAACTCTCACATCCATACATGACTACTGGAAAAACCATAGCCTTGATTAGATGGACCTTTGTTGGCAAAGTAATGTCTCTGCTTTTTAATATGCTGTCTAGGTTGGTCAGGGCTTTTCTGATGTTTCAACATCAGAAAACAGCACATCAAGTATTAATAACTCAGAGCCACATGTTCATGGCTCACATGTAAAGAAATCCACGGAATCTTCCTGGGAGCCTGGTCATTCACAAGCACTGACCAGGGGGTCGTGGCGAGGTGCCCCAGCTTCTGTGACAGAAGAGGCCCCAGATGTTAGGGGCGGGCAAAGCGGCCTGTTCCTCAGAACTCGCCCGCCCGTCAGCAGCGAGGGGCTGAGGAGCTGCCTTCAGCGGCTCCCGGCTCCCGGCCGCTCTGCCTGGAGTCTCCAGTGAACCCTCCTCACCTGTGCTAAGGAAGAGCAGGTAGACTTTTAATTAAAATCTCTCTACTTCTTTATTTGGGTCTTAATTGTGGCCTGCAGGATCTTCATCATGGTGCCAGGGCCCCACTGCGTGTGGGATCTTAGTTCCCAGACCAGGGATCGAACGTGCATCCCCTGCATTGGATGGTTCCTACCCCCTGGGCCATAGGGACGTCCTGCAGGCAGGCTTTGTGGCCACCCTGGGGCCGCTGGCAGGTGAGTGCAGCCACAACTAACAGCAGGCAAGAGGCCAGCGAGCCCGGCCAGGAGGCGGGGACAGACAGGTGGCCGAGGCCAGCTGCACGCCTGTCACGGTGCGCCACAGCCCCAGCGTCACCTGGGAAGGAAGCCCACCTTGCCAGGTCCTGTCCATCCCTCTTCCCATCCGGGGTGTCTTCTCACCACAGAGGCCTTAATGAACGCGTCCAGATGTCCTGGGGTGCGCTCACTTTGCAGCAGTGGAGAGTCCCATGCAAGAATCTGGAGCCTGACTTGCAGATGATTTAAACAGTGAGCAGACACTCGTTGGGCCATTAAGAAGGCTGCGCACCAAAGAATTGATGCTTTTGAACTGCGGTGCTGGAGAAGACTCTTGAGAGTCCCTTGGGCCGCAAGGAGATCCAACCAGTCCATCCTAAAGGAAATCAGTCCTGAATATTACTCAGAAGGACTGATGCTGAAGCTGAAGCTCCAATACTTTGGCCACCTGATGTGAAGAGCTGACTCATTGGAAAAGACCCTGATGCTGAGAAAGACTGAAGGCAAGAGGAGAAGCGGACGACAGAGGATGAGATGGTTTGATGGCATCACTGACTCAATGGACATGGGTTTGCACAAGCTCCGGGACATGGTGAAGGACAGGGAAGCCTGGCGTGCTGCGGTCCATGGGGTCGCAAAGAGTCAGCCACGGCTGAGCGACTGAACAGCAACAACAAACACTGTCGTGAGACAGCTGAGGAAGGCTGGCTCCCGGACACAGCCCGCCCCCAACCACTTCCTGCCAGTGGCCCCTCCAGCAGAGCACAGCCTGCTGAGGAGGAAGGCCTGGCCAGCCTGATGCCCAGCCCCACGCCCAGAGCCTGCAGGGGGCACCCAGGGGCACCCAGGCACTCGGCGAGCACGGGAGGCCACTCAGGGCCAGCATGACCGTGTCCTGGGCATGACAGTGAGCGCTGCTGCCCACACCCGGTGACCCTGCCCGCTTCCGGAGCCAGCCTCTCACACTGGCCCTCTGGCTCCGTGAGTTGTGCAGATCCTTCCAGGAAGCTCTTCCTGCCTATCGCTCTCTCCAGCCCCACGCTCTGCCGACACAGGCAGCGGATCCGCAGGACGGTCAGCGGCAATGGAAGCCTGGGCTGGGCCGCCATTGGAGGTAGCACAGTGAAAACCCCGTGAGGGCCTCGGGGCGCGTCTCACTCGGCCTCGACAGTTGACAGCAGATCAGGAGACTTTCTTACTGAAAAGCTCCCGGAACATCATGCCCAGCAAAGGCTTTGGAGGCCATGCTTACAGGACAGGAAGACATGCATCACTGTGGGGTGGCCGCTTCTCTGGGAAGACAACACATTCTCGGGTCAAGCCACAGACACCATGCAGACGTTTATACGATGGCATTGCAGTCTCTCTTGGTCTCCTTTGAAAACTGCTCACTGATCAAGAAAGAGCGGTGGCCCAAAGAAGCATGAGTTTGGTCGAGGACTCACCTGTGATGCTGCCTAAATCCATAGATAACCCCTAAGTTTTGTTTTACCTGTCCAGGGTGCTGGGTATTTGGTTTCTTCTCATTTTAGTAGTAAATTCCAGTTTTGTTTCATTTGATATATATATGTCATTTTGAAATAATCTAGACTTACAGAGTTTTAACAACTCCCATGGAGCCTTTGCCCAGCTTCCCCTCATGTTAACATGCCTTAGTAAAACTGTCAAAACCAGAAAACTAGCATTGAAACAATAGTGTTAACTGACCTAAAGATTTGATCCAGCATCTCTGGGATGTCTTGTGAACAAGAATATTCTTTGCCAACAAGAATGCTAATGTCTAAAACAATGCATCCTCCACGCTCTAAATCAGGCGTATGTAGTGACGTCACCATGCCGTGTGGCGGAGACAGAGGAGAATGAGTCACTGACCAGGGCCCGAGAAGTGAGGAGGACGTCTGAGTATCCGTAACTCAAAACACAAGGTTGGTGTTCAGTCCATGAAAAGAGGCGTGTGCCCGTCTAAACGGTGTGAGAAATACTAATTAGAGCTTTGGGTTACAGAGTTCAGACCTCAGCCCGATATTTAAGGACACTGGGTTTATGGAGAAGGCTCTGAGATCACAGACTGCTCCCCGTACGATTTGCCACAGCCCACAGCGGTCTCGTGGGAAAACAAAGCTGATGTGCAGGAGCCGCGTTCAGGGCTCAGAGCAGACTGACAGCGGTGGCCTGAGTGCCCGAGGGGCGGCCCTCTCCTCGGGAGCCCCCAGGGCGGGCAGGCAGGTGTGCCCCCAGCAGGCGCCCAGGTCCTGCAACTGTCCCTCTCAAGGGTAAGTTCACTCTTGGAAGTGGCTTGGAGCCCCAGGGGTACCCCCGTCACGTCCGTGGCGCCTCTCCTGGTGCACCCGCCTCTCTGCAGTCGCCTTCTCAGGGCCCCCCCCCCCCCCCCGACGGCTTTCTGTCTGCTCCTGAACTGCACGGGGCCAGGGACATGGCCGCCTCGCGGGAAGCCACACTCGTGCTGCTCAGCACGTAGGAGCGCGGGTGTGTGGCAAGTGACAGCCTCGGTGTAACCACGATCGCATTCCTTTCCTCAAAAGAAATGCGGGAAAAGGATGACTGATTCCCACAAACGAAGCCTTCAAAGTGGTTGTGTTTGGGCTTCCCCGGTGGTGCAGTCGCTAAGAAGCCGCCTGCCAACGCAGGGGACACAGGTCCGATCCCGGGGCCGGAAGACCCCACATGCCTTGGGGCAGCTAAGCCTGTGCTCATCAGTGACTGAGCCTGGGCCCCAGAGTCCGGCAGCCACAACCACTGAAGCCCGTGCTCCACAGTGAGACGCCTGCACACAGCAGAGAAGAGTAGTCCCCGCCCACCGCAACCAGAGAAAAGCCTGTGCAGGCAAAAACCAATAGAATTTTCAAAAACGTAGGACAGTTTGAGGAAATGGAAGTGTTCTAGGATTGATTTACATGGTGGTGTGTGCAGAACCCTGAGAATATACTCAAAGAGAAAAACCACGGGCCCTAAGCAGTCACTAGTATCACTGGTGCTAAGGCCCATGCTCCCTGGCCTACCTGCAGTCTCAGCCACCACCAGAAATGTAACCTCGACCCACTGGTCTAGAGTCTCCCGGTCCTCACCAGGTGGTCTGCCGTGTGGGCTCCCTCTACCCACCAGAGAAGAAGAGGCAGTCTGCACAATGGCATCCTTGCCGCTGCCTTCCCTAAAGATGCCTTGGCTTAACAATGCTCCTTCCTCTTCTTTGGCTAATCCCCCTTGTCCTGCTCCCTCCCTATAAACAAACACCTTCCATCTTGTACAACCCCTGCATGCTCCCTCTAGCCGCAGGACGAGACGCTGCCCGAATCATAAACCACCTAATCAAGCCTTCAGATCCCTGGATTTACTTCAATTTTGGTTTTGAACACTAACCACCAATGGACTGTACACCATGAGAGTGAGTTTTATGGTGTGTGGTCAGGCCCCCCCCCCAAGATGGCCATTCTCTTGCTCTCGGTCCATTCCCTGCTGGCCCGGTCCTTGCCTCACCTGCAGTCTACTCATCTACACCCCTTCCCTCTTCCTCACAGAGCCTGACCAGTAACTGCCCGCACGCCTGCCCGCCAGCCACAGCTACTGAGCACACTAAGCTTCTGATCAGAGGGGCTCCTTTGTGTTCCTGTTTTCCTGATACCCAGCCAGCCTGATGTCCCCCATAACTGACGTCCACCCCGTCACTGATACTTCCCCCTGCCCCAGGGCCAACCTGTAACTGACCCACATCCCCTGTAACTGACAACGCACCCCCACCCTCCACCCCGCGGCCTGAAGAGTCACTCCAGGACCTTGCTTCAGAGGTAAGATCTCTGGTCCAACAAACCACTGAGGTCTCTGTTGCCACCGCCAGCCTCTTTCTTTAGTCCTGTGATGGGGCAGTTTACAGGGCTTGCAGGCCTGTGGGGTGCAGCCTGACATGTGGTATGCGAGGTACATCTCAATGAAAGGAGTTGGGGCAAAATTCGGTAAATATTTTAAAAACTCTTAAGAGTAGGGAAGTCCTAAGTATGATAGCAAAGAATTTATGGGAAATTGTAAAGTTTAACGACTTCAAAATTTTACATTTCCATATAGCAGAAAACAATGTGAACAAGATAAAAAAAAAACAGGAAAAATATTTATGACAACAAAAAGATTTACTACTATAATAGATTTTATAAAAGAATAAGGATAAGAGATAGTAAAAGTGGGCTAAGTATATTTAGTAACCCATATAAGCAGAAATATAAATAGTGGACTGGTGTTGAAGCTGAACCTCCAATACTCTGGCCAACTGATGTGAAGAACTGACTCATTGGAAGAGACCCTGATGCTGGCAGGAGAAAGGGACGACAGAGGGTGAGATGGTTGGAAGGCGTCACTGACCTGATGGACGTGAGTTTGAGCCAGCTCCGGGAGTTGGTGATGGACAGGGAGGCCTGGCGTGCTGCAGTCCACAGCATCGCAGAGTTGGACACGACTGAACGACTCAACTGAACTGAAAAATTCTTTTTAAAGTTCCCCCACTGGTTACTAAAAAGGCAAGAAAAAACACACTTTGCCCATCAGGTTGTCACTGACTTAAAAGAAGACTGGCAAAACCCAGGGCTAGCTAAATGCACATGTCTCAGACATGCTACTGATACGGTCTTTCTGGAAGTAGTTTGACATGTGCATCGTCTTTGAACCACTTTCATTTTAGGAATATGTGACATTGTGACTTACAATAAGAATACACATATGGTCTTCCTCCATTTCTGGCACAGAGCTCTAAAGACCCTTGGAATTTCCTAAGTGATAAGAGGATAAGAGTGTCTTTTGATATTCCTAACAAGTCCCTTTCAACCACACCTGGGCTTATGTGAATGAAGTGACTTTTTTATTCAAGTGAAGCTGATTTACAAAACTGTGTTCGTTACACAAGTGTAGCACAGTGATTTGGTTATTCGTGTGTGTGTGTGTGTGTGTGTATTTATCTACATTCTTTTCTTCCAGTTCTTTCCCATTGTATCAGTAGCTTGTCAAAAGATATTGAATATACTTCCCTGTGATATATGGTAAATCCTTGCTGTTTATCTTTTCTATATACAGTAGTATGCATCTGTTAATCCCACACCTAATTTATGCCCCCACCCTTCCCTCTTAGTGACCTAAGTCTCTTTTCTATGTCTGAACTTGCTTGTTTTGTAAACAAGTTAACTGTCCTACTCTTCGGCACCCACGGGTAAGTGGTGCCCTATTTGTCTCTCTGACTGGCCTCACTCAGTATAGTCTCTAGGTCCATCCAAGCTGCTGCAAAAGGCATTATTTCATTCTTTAGGGGCTTCCCTGGTGGCTCAGATGGTAAAGAATGCCTGCAGTGCAGGAGCTCCGGGTTTGATCCCTGGGTTGGGAAGATCCCCTGGAGGAGGGCATGGCAACCCACTCCGGCATTCTTGCCTGGAGAATCGCAGGACAGAGGAGCTACAGTCCGTGGGGTCGCAGAGTTGGCGATGACTGACAATCACTTCAGCACTCCACTGTGTGCAGCACCACATCTTCTTTATCACTCCTCTGCTGATGCACATGTAGGTTGTCTCCATGACTGGCTATTGTAAATAGCGCTGCCATAAACACTGCGATGCGTGTAACTTTTCCAACTAGAGTTTTCTCCAACCAGCCCAGGAGTGGGGTTGTTGGGCCCTACAGTAGCTCCAGCTTCTGTGTCTGTTTCTGAGGAACCCCCACACTGTTCATGGTGGCTGCCAATTCACATTGCCACCGACAGTGCAGGAGGGTTGGGGTGACTTCTGTAGACTCCCCAAGGATCGCCAGGGGAACCAACCCTGGGATTAGGGGCTGAACTGTCAGCCCCACCCTCGTGACCTCTGGGGAGGGGACAGGGGCTGGAGCTGAGCTCATCACCAGCCGGCAATCATTTAATCCATCAGGCCTGTAGGGCGGAGCCTCCTCCACACAAACCGCCACCTGAAGGCATCCTGAAGAGCTTCGGTGACCACTGTAGGCTCTGGGAAAGTCCTTTCCTTTATGGGAAGCAGGTCCTCCAGTGAATGAACTGCTGCCCAGCGTCCTGCAAGCAGCTCTGGAAGAGGCTGGACTGGAGGAAGGGTCTTGGGCTCTGTTGTGGAGCGGGCTGGGCAGAATGTGACGGCTTCCGGGCTCAGGATGTGCATCTGAAGTGGGGGTGGGCAGGCAGGCAGTGAGACAGCCCCTCGTGTGTGGGGCTGCACTGAACTGCAGGACCGCCAAGCAGTTATCCACAGAGAGAGCTGGAGAAATGCTGGTGAGGAAAAAACCCACACCGGTGGCCAGAAGTGAGATAGAGGACAGAGAAAGAGGAGATTTTCATTATCACCTCCTAAAGGGAGCAGAGCAGTGCACTAAGGCATGTGTAGGAAGCTATTCATTAGATTTTACGGCAGTTAGAAACTGGAGATATGCTGGACACGCATCCATATGGAGCTGATTAAGATATGGTCCCCACAAATCAAGAGGCCTATATAGACATCCCAGGGAATGATGTAAACCTACGTGTTGGTAGGAAAAGAAGTTCATGAGCAAAGGATGTTCCAAATACACACGACAGTCCACGGTGGCATCTGGTGTCACAGAGCGACCATGTGGAATTACTGCGGCAGGCACACTTACTGCAAGGTGAGAACGTGATCAGGCAAATCAGCGGGAACATTTCAACGATCCGACGTCAGTGCCATCTTTTTCCCAGCTGTGCTGCGTGCCTTGCCGCATCACAGTTCCCCACCCGGGGACTGAACCCAGGCAGAGAAAGTGCCATGTCCTAACCACTGGACGCCAGGGAACTCTGCACTGCCTTTTGTAGACAAAGATCTGACGTCTGTTTCAAGGACAAAGCCTCGTAAGAAAACTGTAATTAATTTAACACATCTCGACTTTTAACTTTAACCAGAAGAACATAACGAGGATGTACAGACTCAAAAATGTTTTCTTGCTTAAAGTTTTCAACATAGCCTACATTGTTCCAAAGTCCTCATCACAATTTTAAGACACTACGCCTTTAAGCAACCCCAGTAGCTGAGACACTTCCGTAAGGATCAGCGAGAACGCATTTAGAAAAGCCCAGGTGGACCAGATAAACGCTGAGTGGCTTTCATGGGGGTGGTCTCAGCTGTTCCTACACAGTGACCATGGCTAACAATTTAAGGCTCACCTTAGTTCCTTATAGGCTCTGCTACAACTAACTGTGACTCATCCTACAAATGTCAAGCCATCATGAGAGAACATTTAAGTAAATTATTAAAAATAACAGTACTTAAGAGCACCTAATGTTTCAGGCCCTGCGCTTCGGCAGTGGCCTGCTCAGAGGCCGTGCACAAGGAACACGCATGCAGGAGAGAAGCCACCCAGGTTCCGCTACACGGCGCGTGGTGGGGTGCCCACTTTCTGACTGGTGCAGCAGCTAACTATGGCTGCCGCTGCCTAACCATTTTCACAACCGCAGGTCCTGCCAGTCTCACGCGTGGGGAAGCAATGCGGAATGGTGAGGAAACCGCAGCTCTGCTCAACTCACAGTGGGGGCTCTCCCAGGTCCGGGCCTGTGCTTGCCCAGCACCAGCGGCTCTGCCGAAACCCCCCCAAAGGTGGAGCTCACTGGGCCGCAGGAAACCTGCAGGGCTGAGAGCTGCGACAGGCACAGCAGAACCACCATTTTTAAGAAATTCTCCCAAACTGTTCTCTTCCTTCCAAGGTGATCAAGTCACATTCTTAAAGCCCTGACGTCTCACTCATGGTTCCTATCTGGTTCACTGCCCTCACTAAGCACCATACAAACAGGTAACAATTTTAAACAAGTCCCTCTGTCTCAGAGGCTCTGATCTTACAAGGCTCCGTCACCTAGGACAGGGGCTCCCCTATGGAAACAGGGGCCTTCCATCGGCTGTAATCGGTCAATAAAGGCTATCTGGGAAGCAATGTTTACAAATTGGTGAAGCATAAGGACTCAGGTGGGTTACTTAACGTCTCTGTGCTTTAGCTCCCTCATCAGCAAAGCGGGAATACTAACAGTACCTCCTTCCCAGGACTGTCATAAGGATTAAATGAGCTGTTGTTGTGACTCCATGGACTGCAGGCCTCCCTGTCCTTCACTATCTCCAGGAGCTTGCTCAAGCTCATGTCCACTGAGTCAGTGACACCATTCAACCACCTCTTCCCCTGCTGCCCCTTCTCCTCCTGCCCTCAATCTTTCCTGGCATCAGGGTCTTTTGCAATGAGTAGGCTGTTTGTATTAGGTCAAATATTTAAATAAACACACATATAAAATGCTTAGAACAATACTTGCCATAGTGAAGCACTACTTAAGTGCCTATTGCTATTACTGCTGTTGTTATTACTGATTTAAAGCAGTAAGTCTCTTTGCAAGCTATATACAATAAAATTGGCCTCATCTTAAAATCACGTCTGAGATACCTACTTACACTATCTGCATACTCTAGACACAGAACTAAGTTGGCTTGAGTTTCTAAGGCCATGCCGCACTTCCGCACCTGAGACAAGAAGGCAGACAGTGTTCAAACGCTTGACTCAACACACCGGTGTTGGAAAATTCTGAACCACCCGACTGGAGTCACTAGGAGATCAAAACGCTTGGAGCAGGCAGAGGAGAGGCGGCAGTGATAGCGGACCTGCGCTCACAGGCAGGGCTACACCTCGCCGGCTGTGCCCCCAGCACACATCCTCACCCTCCCGTTCCTGGGCCCGAGCTCTGGGGCGGAGGTGAGCATCTCCCCACCGCCCAGGTCTCAGGCTGCTGACAGCAAGGACGGACGCTGCGCCGACCTCCTGACGTCACCTCCCTGACTTAGAGGCCTCATGAGATGCCACGGTGAGGCAAAAAAAGAGCAAAGAAGTGGATTGCTGCTGAGATGAAATAGAGGCAGGAGGGGAGACTGCAGGTGAGGCCAGGGAGGGACAGGCCCGGCACTGGTGGTTAGCCCCTGTCATCTCACCCTCACTGCTGAGCCGACACAGGAGAACTGCAGGTTCAGGAGGCCGTGAGTCAGCACGCTGGCTCCAGGGGCACCCCAGTCCTGACGCTCGGCGTCCCAGTCTGTAGGCAGGCCGTTCTTTCAGAAACTGATACAGCTTTCTCCCTCAGATTCACAACCGACGAGCGGACGCCAGCCTCCCCGCATTCAGACGCCGTGGCCCTTCGGTGTCTCTGGTCCTCAGAGAAGACGCACAGCAGCTGTCTCTGCCCAGCTCCCGTGACCCTGCTCGTGAGAACCAGGCTTCTTCACGCGCCGGGAAGAGCACACACCGAAGTCACACCCACAGTGTCTGGGCTGTCTGAAGTGCCTACCTGACGACACTTGAACTTGAAAAAAACTTTCCTAATTGAGTTACAAAGAACTGGAAGCTAAGTAACTTCTCTTGAAAATGAGCTCCCAGCACTACTCCTTCAACACATATGGATCACTTCGTTTTGAAATTTTTAATCCACGTTTTAGAGCCAGCAATTTCTACTGACTTTAATTACATTCTTTGCAGTGCAACAAGTAATTTTCATACTCAATCTTTTTGTTTCAGTGGTATCTGCGATAATGGATTTTATGTGAACAATATTCAAAAGCCAAAACAATTCTTTGTATTCATCATTCTTTCAGCCAGGAAACGACTTGGTGGTTTGCATCTAATTAAAAAAAAAAAAAACAAACCCAAAACAAAACAGGACAGAAAATGACAGCATGCGTCACACACAGTAAAAGCAGGTACTGTTTTCTTAGATTTTTGTTTGTATGTATAGAAGTGTGTGTGTGTGTGTGTGTGTGTGTTACACTGTAAACTGGATTTCTCACTGTGGTCAGAAGTCTGAAAGTCACTGCTGGAGAGGCTTCTGTCAGTCAATGAACCAGATGCGAAGGGCATTTGCCTTCCAAGACTTTGGATTAAGCTGCCCAGACCACAGTCAGGTATGTGGCTCAGTCCTTCAGTGAAAGAAATTAGAGAAACTGTATCTAAGTAAGTCAAATAAATAACATAACGTACATGATTTCAATCATTTTAGGTTGCAGAAACTGACCTACCAAGAACTGCGCAACAAGAAAGACAGGAAACACCCACTTCCTCCTCAGCTCACCATTCCACCAGAACAATCACTGCCCTTTGTAAGGCTGGAATGAAGGTAACCTGTACACTTAAGTTTTAGCCATGAGGGTATTTAAGATAAAAAAAACAAAAACACATTTGAGTACTTGTAAACCAAAATATAAAATCACTTTTTGTAAAAGTTTAATTTCTGAGACATTTAGAGTCACACTAAAAGTAATCTCATAGAAACAAGACTGACAATTTGTAAACAAAACACTCTGTAAACAAAAATCATTTGCCAGTGCATCCAAACACTATTTTCAAAGTAACATCATACCAGTTTTTAAAAGTGTGAATAGTTCTGCATGTACCCTCATCGCAAGCACTGCCTTTATACGCTAAGTACACTAAACTGTGCTAACAATACAGAGAGCCACCACGGAGCATGACATAAGCCCATGTTGTCGGCAAACACGGTGACGCTGGGGCCACAGGGGGTCACCTGTGCCCCCAGCAAAGCTGGGCAGGAGCCACCACCCCAGGTCAGGGGTGTCTGCACCTCGGACACACCCAAGTGACAACCACCAGTGAGGTTTCCTTCTCCTCCGCGGCCCACCCCTCAGCATGGCACAGAAGGTGCTAACGTGTGTGCGCACAGTCTTCACATCAAGTCACACATTTACAGCAGTTTCATTTTCATAGAGAATGTACACAAAGCTAAATAAATTTTAAATCTAAGAAATACCTTGGGAAATCAGCAAAGATCATTACAAACGTTGTATGTGTAAAATGTATAACCAACATATTCAAATACCACAGAAGCAATGAATGAAAGAACGGCAGTGCCCACTGCCCCTTTACATTGGTTCCCAGAAGTGAGAAAACACGAGAGGAGTGTTGAGTGAAACTGTCAGTGACGTACCCCGCCCACTCAGGAGCAGGGCAGTCTGGGTGTCTGACTGCGGCGTGGGGCCCTCCGGCCTGAGACCTCGTGGGCGCCCCTCCCACAGCACTCCTGGCTGTGGGCCCGGGATCCACGTGCTGCCCCCCACCCAGCCCCACCACAGGGCCACACACCAGCCTCCAGCGTGTGTCCGAGAGAAGCGCCTGCGATTAGAGTGAGCGTCTCACTCAGGATCGAGGTTGTCGATGTGACCGGGAATACACGGGGTATCTGTAGTCTCAACTGATTGTCATTACGTGCAGACTGAGGATGTAACAACCTGTATTTGCTCACACAAAACACGGCTGAGACCCAAGGTTTAAAACCATCCCTCTATTCCACACAGCAATGACGAAGCATCCAATGAAAGCTTAAAAAATCCATTATACATTTCACTCCTTACTGATCCAAACCTGGCCTAAGTCCTCTGATGGAAAGAAATTTTCAGATGAGCAGAGTTGATACAGACGTTGAAAAGTTTAATACTTTACTTAAAAATTTTCAGACATCTTACAAATACCCAGAAGCTCTTCTGGATGTGTGCCCTGAAATTGGTGTAAGTTAAAAATGATATTCTTTTATTTAAAGGAACTTTTTTCTCTTCTCCCCTTGACCTGGTCTGCTCAAAGCAAGCAAGTTTCAGTAAAAATCAAAACCTCCAACTAATGCTTAAATAGGTATAATTACAAGTAAAATTGAAGAGCAGCCATTTTTAATAAATTTTCTCAGTATGTGGATCTTATGCTGAGAAATTCACCCATACTAGGCTGCTTATATTTACTGAGGGTCATTTAGAATCACAAAATGTTCTTTTGTTTTAAACCTAAGCAGCATTTGAACAAGAGAAACTCAAAAGGAAATGCAGAGGTATAAATAAAGAAGTATACACATAGAGCTGAGATTACTTTTTCTTATAATTTTGGTTCTTAGTGGAAATGTTTTATGTCAAATATATACAGCCTATTTTTCATAAATTTCTCTCCCCAAAACCTTTAAATTCAACAGTTTGAGAAAACTATTCTTTTACTTTTGTCTGAACACAGACACTACTGCCATACACACAGTGCATGTGGATACACGTATTTAGAGAGGCCTCACGATATGAACTGTGTGTGATGGACCCACCTCCTACTTCTGCATGCACAATTTCTGATGCTCTAACCTAGCAGAGGGTGACACAGAGTATCATGGTATAGTTTTTACTCAGAGGACTTGAAGTCAAGAACCTGTCCCCATAATTATTTACAATTTAATAACTGAATGAGCGTGAGGTCATGATACACTGCAGAACTGTCCTGACACCACGAATGCTGGCTGACGCTGTGTGTTCTGGTGTTAAATGATCACTTTTGTAAGTCTGAGGTTTAACTTGGCATGTGCAGAAGTGACCGAAGGTGAAAGAAGGGGTTTCTACCACAGAGGATTTACGGTTCCATGATGGACACAGAAGCACAGGGAATTACGGGATTTCTGAAAAAATGTTTTAAAAAAACTGAGTGTACATACAGCCTATAAGGCAAAATCTAAGTTACAAGTGTGTTCAACACTGGCAACTATGTTGTGAGAGGTAATATTGAATTATTTACACATAAACTGTCAGAAAATATGATGACGTAACACATCCTACCATAGCTTATTACACTGGACAGTAGACAGATTCCTGTGGCATTCTACCAAGGCTCAGGTTTAGAAGAGTTCTGTATTTTTCCCTTAACTCAAATTCCAGTCAATATTCGGTAACATAAGTCAGAACTATGCTTTTGTTTTTTTCTTGAAGGAAGTAGAAAATGTCATTTGCAACCATTACAGTTTCAATGCAGCCACTGCAGTAACACCTATAAACTTCCATTTTTTTGCACAAACTGCCCATCTGAGGACTAAGGAAGGATGCCTTTCATGTGGGTGTCTACACTTTGAATGGACTCTATACTGAGATTTAAATGAACCCTTAGAAGCCCCAAAGTGGCCTTTTCTCACGTCCTCACAGCTGCGCAGCTAATGCAAGCCAGCATGGCCCCCAGAAGAGGCACTGCCCAGAGGGGCCTGCGCTTGGCTGGGAACGACAAGGTCCACACAAAGGCAAACAAAAAGGAGACGACCTGCAACAGCCAAGCCCTCAAACTATGAAGACGGGGACACACACAGGCCCAGGCCGGACACATGGATCACAGTCAGCGGGACGGCCCCGACTGGCGGGAATGTCACGAGTGTGGGCTGCTCAGCTCTTGACTGCAGAGTGGTGCTGGGGTCTCACAGTGCTTTCTGATGCCCATTTGCAGAAGGCTTTGCTGTGTCTGAATCCCTTGGCGTATCTGATAAGTGCAGTTTATGAAGCCCTGCAGAAAGATGAAGAAAACGTAAGAACTAATGCACTGCTGAGAGGCTGGGCACAACATGAAGTGCTCCTGAGAAGACTGCCACGTAGCACACTCCCTGCAGCATGGAAGGGTTCCGTGCCCTACCGGCAGCGCCGAGGGCCTCCACTGAAGACAGCTGCCCAGCGGGAAGTCAGGCCTCCCTTCATGCAAGAGCCGCCCCTCACCCAGCCTCCCACAGGGCCGGCTCAGCTTCCTCCGCTGAGGGCAGAGCCCCTGCCCTCCACACAGCTCCCTCCCCACCCCACCCCGCCCTCCACCCCGGCCCCAGAAGCAACTTCTAATGAACCTGTTCCTGCAAGCTTATCCCCATCCTCAAGTGCCCTTCTTGGGGAAGGATGAAACAAGGATGATCCCAAAATGGGATGATCCCATTTTTGTTTTAAAATACACTCATACATATACACTCAGGAAAATGCAGGGAAAAACACACTAAGACATTAAGCATGCAAGTAAAGCAACGGAAAATATTACCAAGCAGAAGGAAAGGACAAAAGAACAAATGTAACACAAACAGTGCTTCACTGCAGAGTAAGAGACGATCGATGCCTTCTAAGTTGTGCTCCTTCCCGTCTGTATCACACAGTAATTATCCACCAGTGTATCTGATACACAGCAGTGCTGTGCCTTCATGGGCAGAAGAGTTAGCAGGAATGTTTAAGGGTTTAGCTGGTATTAAAGCTCTGAGCACTTTAACAAAATGAAGCACAAAGATATTCAAGAACACATAAGTAGCACATCCATGGAAAAGATCGTCAGAGAACAACTTTTATGAGGCTCAGATATTTGTAATAATATGCTTGGATGAGATGATTTTCCCCCCTAAAATTTCAGGTAGTTTTCTAGCTAACTTGATATGCAATTTTATACCCCTCACAAACCAACACAACATTCCAAATTTTAAAATTCCTATCACCTGCATATCTTAATGGAAAAAAAGTAAAATTGACCCTGTCTATGATGGATGAATGGGAAGGAAAAAATAAGTCAATCAAAAATACACACACACACACAGAGTTCTGGTTTCAGGAGTGGCCAAGCCACTCTGTGACAAAAGGCACCTACAGCTCCGGCTGGACACGGACATGAGGAAGCGCACTGACACAGGCCGGCTGCAGGAGGAAGGGGGCAAAGTGCACAGCCACCAGGTGATCAACACCCTTGTGGAAACTAAGCCCCTTCAGGGTCCATTATTCTGATGAGTTACTTCTAAACCCTGAGTGGAGCACAGGTTATCTATTCGGAAAAACTACAGTGTCTCTCTTCTGTAGAAATAATCACTGCCTCCACCATCACGGCAGATGAATTCCCAGTGGCCGCCATGTGCCAGATGCTCTATGAGAAAGACTCTGTGATTCTCAACCCACAGCAGCAGAGGGAAAAAGCCCTCCTGCGCCACCCCCAACACACAAAGAAGAAAAAGAAAGGAGATGGTTAAATTTTATATTTTCTGATCAAATTATAATTCTCAGTGAAATCATATTAAGATTTCAGATCATTCACACATTATATACACTTAATGAGGATCTTCTTCTAGGTATCAAGCATTGCCTCCTTAGAGTATTCCAAAGAGTAACAGAAAACATTAGGAAAACTGTTTATTAGATGCTCTACATAACTCTTGATAACACCACTGCCTCTTATGGTCAAAGAGCCAATACAATATACACAAGCTTTACCTTAGGTTAAATTATATCTTACTACTTTAATAAAGACTTCTTTAGCAAGATGATATCCAAAACACCCAACTCAAATGCTAAATTAACTGCAATTTATTCACCACCATCTCATTTTAGTGAATGATAAGTAGGAATTTATCTGAGATTATGGGTAACTAACATTGCTGATGCTACAACAGGCTAAAATATGAAATTATAACTCTAAACATCTGGCTAAGAGGACTGTTTGTTTCCCACTTCATCTTTAGATTTTAATCTGACCAGCATTACAGAACCTGGGCATTAAAATCCCCAAAGTGTCTGGGGCTTCAGCTGAAATGAGACGTAACTCTCCCCTTTCTGCCCAGTATTTCATCAGCCACTGTCTCCGAGGAAAAATTCACAGTAAAACAGACATGAGTAGATAATCTGAAGTCCTTTTTCCTTCCCAATGGTCATCCTTTCAAGCGTCAGGACTGGACAGCGTGGTGGTGCGTAAAGCTTTACTGTGGTCTGCCTAGCAGATACCGCTGTACATGCGAACAGGACCCTAAGGAACCATCGTTACGCTGCATTCTGCAATAGCTAAGAGCCATAAAGGAACACGGAGTATGAACATTCACATGGCGTCAATTCAGGTAAATGAGCCAATGTCAGGACTTTCTAACAATGAATCACTACCTTTTCCCTCTTTTATATAATTGCACACCCTAAACCCAAGAAGGTTTCAAAGCAAGACAGTTTATATTGTCCTGGTATTCCCAAAATACAAAGCCTGAAATATGGTTATCACTAATGTTGAAGCAAGCATGAAAAATATGGTCATAGGTGACATCTGTACCTTATATAGCTTAGCCAAATCTATGAGTTCTTAATACCATCTCAATGCATATGTCTCAATGCATATGACTCATGGAATACATAATAAATGCCCTCTCTTATTAATGCCAAAGACTTAATATTTTTATTACAAATTATTATCTGACTTATGAAGAGAACTGTAATTGTGGGTCAGCCTGAAACTTACAAAATCCAATTCTCAAAAAAAATCTTAAACTAAACAGTAGTAAAAGGCACCATCACTAGAATATAAGCCTTGCACCCCCAACCTCAGTCCACCGCAAGCGCCCTCGTCATCACGACAGAAGAGCTGCTGCTCGCTGAGCTTTCGCAGTGCGTCAGCACTGCCCATGGGCCCTAACGGGGACCATTTTAGTGTTCACAGCAGTTCTGAAGATGATATTGTCACTGTTCTATAGATGAGACAGGTGAGGCTTAATGAAGTCATCTTATACAAGAACATAACCAATAAGCAGTGGGTAAGGAATGTGACCTCGAAGGATTCACACATTTGGAAAATGAATAGGTAAAGACTTAAAATTAGCTGAAAAGTTAAAATTATTAAAAAGCTGAAGGAGAGAAAACGCACCCATAAACTTCAGGATTACCTAGGGCCTTGAAGAGTTCTTCTCGCACAGCAGAGGTGAATTTTCTGACCAGACACAATGTGGTCACAATAGCAAAAAGCAAATTGTAGGATAACACAATATAGAAATTTCCCAGCCAATTAAATCTTCCAAAGTCTCCAAGTAGATCAAATCTAGTGATTCCTGTTAAAATAAATAAAATAACCCTTAATAAATCACGTACAATATATTTATACAAATATATATTTAACAAGAAAAAGTATAAATCAGATCAAATTCCATGGTCTGCCTCATTTCTGTTAGTGGGAATCCTAGGTTAACACACAGTCATGATCCTGTGGCCAACCCCAGTCAGCCTAAGCAACTGTCCGTGTGTCAGTCTCTGGCAGTGGTGAGCAACGAGGCTGAAAAGGGTCATTCACTCAGCATTTCCCTGCATCCACAAAAAAACCCGCTGTGCTGCTCCTTGTGAGGAAGCTGGGTGCGACACACTCCCAGAAACAGGAAAGGAGGGTGGTGATGGAAGAGACACCTGAGAAGCTCTCTCCAGCCCCAACCCTGGCCCCATCTCCCTGCAGGGCCCTGCTCACACGTCACCTCCTCCAAGCGGCCACCTGTCTCCTCTACCCTGAACAGCTGACCTGACAAGGTCCTCCACCCTGATAATGTTTCTTTAAGGCACACACGAACTGAAAGGTTTCTCTTCCTTTGTGGTTCATTTAGTGCCTACTCTCCCCAGAATATAAGAACAGGGACTCTGTTGTTTTTAGCCCTATGATCCCAGAACCCAGAGCAATGCCTTGCACATACTTAAAACTTACTACATAAGAAATAAACAGAGTGGTTCCTTTCCAAGGGGAAGAAAACACACATTACATATGTGAATTGGATGCTACAGTCTTGCGGAGTAAATGGCCAAGGCTGGAATGCAGCGTAACTGTGTTGTATATGTTGGAAATGCAGTGCAGTTGCATTATATATGCATCACCACTTAAATTCACCTGTCATATGTAAAACAACAAGTCTTATTTTAAAAAAAAAAAAGTCTGACTAGTCATTCTGTTCAACGAGTACGTGCCCTAGGCTCAATACTTCTTGGATCAGAGTATGCATGTGGAAGGATTTTTCTGACTATTGACAAGTAAATAAATAAGTAAAACAGCATTCAAATGGTCAGTCAAGTGAGAGATGATGGGACTACTGATATTCTTTAAGGAAGAAACTGGAGAGCTAATCATGGCCATATAAAATTTTAACCACTAAGGACTTGTATACCCAAAATCACGCACCTTTCATTTTAAGGGTGGCCTAAGAATTTCAAGAACAACTTTTACTAAACTCAAAGTCACCTCATCAGTTAACTTTCAAACTTAACTCTCATCCCCACTCAACACAATGCCATCACCTCCTATCTGGACAGACTCTATGAAAGCAGCTCGTGGAGACTACAGAAAAATAGCAGGTGCCAAAAAGCAGGTCTTGTGTAACCACATGTATCCAGGGCCAATGTATCTGAATTTGAGAGACAATAATCTACAAAAGTAGTTTAAGGAAATACAAGATTAACGGAAATGTACAATAACATACTTTTTCAATGATGGTAGAAGGGACCCAGGCCCTAGTAGTATTTACAGCATAGGTCATACCACAAGGTCATGGAACAATCCGGCAGCAGACTTACTAACACTTGGTTAAAAGGGACATGTGTCTAATTATCACGTGTGCCCCAGTGTTCATCGCAGCACTGTTTATAATAGCCAGGACATGGAAGCAACCTAGATGCCCATCAGCAGACCAATGGATGAGGAAGCTGTGGTACATATACACCATGGAATATTACTCGGCCATTAAAAAGAATTCATTTGAATCAGTTCTAATGAGATGGATGAAACTGGAGCCCATTATACAGAGTGAAGTAAGCCAGAAAGATAAAGACCAATACAGTATACTAACGCACATATATGGAATTTACAAAGATGGTAAAGATAACCCTATATGCAAAACAGAAAAAGAGACACAGATGTACAGAACAGAATTTTGGACTCTGTGGGAGAAGGCGAGGGTGGGATGTTTCGAGAGAACAGCATCGAAACATGTATATTATCTAGGGTGAAACAGATCACCAGCCCAGATGGGATGCATGAGACAAGTGCTCGGGCCTGGTGCACTGGGAAGACCCAGAGGAATCAGGTGGAGAGGGAGGTAGGAGGGGGGATCGGGATGGGGAATACATGTAAATCCATGGCTGATTCATGTCAATGTATGACAAAAACCACTATAATATTGTAAAGTAATTAGCCTCCAACTAATAAAAATAAATGAAAAAAAAAAGGAACATGTGTCTAATTATATATATTATTTTTCAAATGAAGTACTACTTAATTTAACCTAGGAAGTTATCTGTAAACAAGATGCAGTCCTCCCAAAACACACTTCAGTGATTTCATGGCCCGGGGAACCCAGATAAGCATCTTTGATCTTTAAAGCCCAAGACTCCTGAGCATCTGGTAAGGGACACACACGTGCACATGCACACACACACACAACTGTGCGTATCATGAAGCTCATTTAAAGAGGAACTGACAGATCACAGGATAAAAACCCTTGCCCAGATGCTCTATAGAAGTCTGATCTGGTCTCACAAATTTTTGATCATACACTACCATTAGGAAAAATTAGAGTGCATATACACATTACATGTATATTTTATTTGTAAACTATATATGTACTACTCACTGACCTATATATTATTTTATACACAAAAGAAAGGCTTTAAAAATTATAGCAGTAAAAATAAATACAAGTTCTGATAACTTCTCCACACAGCCCAATGACTTACTTTGTGAATTTATGTGGAAACCAACTCCACTTTGGAAACCTCTGCTACATGCTAACTAGTAATTCGGCAACACCCAGAACTTGCTCTGTGTCATGCACCCCAAGAGAGGGAAGCCAGGGGCAGGAGTAGAATTCACACAGTGAGACTGGAAGGTACGCTATGAACAATGACAAGGTGCTTTCACTAGAACTTCTCAGTGGGCTCACCCTGGTATCTGGAGAGTCAGGGTCAAGACCCAGTGGGAAACACCAGGCAAAGAGCAACCCCTCTTGTTAGAGGCTCTGGTCACAGACACCTCAGGTTGGCCTCAGACAGAAGCCCAGAAGCCTGGTGCTACTATGGATGCACTGAGGCTTCAGACAAAACATAGGAGCGAGTTCTAAAAGACCTTGTTGTTCCGAATTTAATGTTTTAGAAATCTAATATCAGCTAAGTACCACAAAGTTCTTCAATTCTGAAAATCTTCTAATAGACAAAAAGAAGTCTTAAATAAACACTTTTCTAAAATGTCTGAGAGGATTTTGTCACAGTAATAATTTTAAGATGTACTTTTTAATGTCTTTTCCAGTTTTACTGAAATATAATTTACATATCACTGCATGTACAGAATGTTTTAACTCAAATACACCATGAAATGATTATTAAGATAAGATCAGTGAACATTCATCACCTCAAACAGACACAAACTTTTAAAAGTTTCGAATTTTTTTTCCATGTGATGAAAACTCTTAGGATTTACTCCCTTAACAACTTTCCTACATAACACACAGCAAATAATTATACTTGTCATGTTGCACATTACGTCCCTAGGGCTCATCTCACAACTGGACATTTGTACCTGGTGATGGCCTTCATCCAATCCCCACCTCTACCTCCTGTCTCTGGTAACCACAAATCCGGTCTTTTCTCCTGAGAGTTTGTTTTTGAAGTATAATCAACCTAAAACACTATGTAAGTTTGTATGATGTGACACTGTGATTTGCTATTTCTATACATTTCAAAATGATCACCATCTAGTTATTGATTATATTCCCCACACTGTACATTTGAGATTCTGTGAATTTTGCAAATCTCATCTCCTGCACCTATTTCTTTCTTCCACTCTCCACCCAGCCCTGGAAACCACCTGTCTGCTCTCTGTATCTGTAACTCTAATTCTGTTTTGCTGTTTGTTCATTTGTTTTCTAGAGTTCATATGTAAGTGAAATCACACAGTATTTGTCATTCTCTGTCTGACTTATTTTATCAAGCATAACACCCTCTAGGTCTACCCATGTTGTCACAAATGGCAATATGTTAATCTTTTACGCCTGAGTAATATTCCTGTGTGTGTGTGTGTGTGTGTGTGTGCATATGTGTATACACACGTACCACATCTCTATCCATTCATCTATCCATGGGCACCTAGGCTGCTTCCATATCTTGGCTACTGTAAATAATGCTGCAACCAACATAGGGGTACATATTTATTTTCTAATTGGGGATTTCATTTTCCTCAGAAAACTACTCAGGAGTAAGACTGTTGGATCATATGGTAGCTCTATTCTTAGTTTTTTAGGGAACTTCCATACTGTTCTCCACAATGGCTGCACCAATCAACATTCCCATCAACAGAGCAGGAGGGTTCCTTTCTCTCCACACCCTCTCCAGCATTTATATTTAGACTGTTTGATGATGGCCTTTCTGGCTAGTGTGAGGTGATGCCTCAATGTAATTCTGATGTGCATTTCTCTAATAATTAATGATGCTGAGCATCTTTTTATGTGTTTTTTGGCCATCTGTATGTCTTCTCTGGAGAAATGTCTGTTTAAATCTGCCCAATTTTAGACTGGGATGTTTGGTTTCTTGGCATTGATCCATTGCATATTTTGAATATTAACTCCTTATTGGTTATATCATTTGCAAATATCTTTTCCATTCAGTAGGCAGCCTTTTCATTTTGTTGAGTTTCCTTCATTGTGCAAAAGCTTATTAGTTTGATGTAGTCCCATGTGCTTATTTTTGCCTTTGTTCCCCTTGCCTGAGGAAACAGATCTCCCAAAAATATTGCTAAGACCAATGTTAGAGAGCATACTGCCTATGTTTTCCTCTAGAAGTTTTATGACTTCAGGTCTAATATTACATCTTTAGACTGTGCTGTGTTTATTTCTGTGCATGATGTGAGAACATGGTTCAGTCTCTTCTGCATGTAGCTGTCTAGTTTTTTACACCACCATTTACTGAAGCAGCTTTCTTTTCCTCATTGTATATTCTTGCCTCCTCTGTCATAGATTAATTGACCATAGGTGGATGGATTCATTTCTGGGCTTTCTATTCTGTTCCATTGATATATATGTCTGTTTTT